GCTCCCATGGGTTTCTTTAGCTGTCTTAAGATACGTTCAAACTAAAATCATATCATCAMTACCCCTTTAATTTCTTTTCCATATGTTGTTTGAGGGTTTATTTTTCTGCACTCAGAGGAATCCACAAACCACATGTGTAACTCACTTTGATCTCCTGGCTATACAAAATAAAAAGTTCTAGCCTGGTGAAAGTAGTGGTAGGTCTTTCCTTGGATGTGACCTCCAGCAGGATTTCAGGCGTCGTGGAGGAATGTAAAGAAGATAATCATAGAGGCCCAAAAATATCTCAAAAGCAGAGGTTTGTGGTTGGGTTATGACCCAAATCCAGGTAAGGGACACATCATATTTAGGTTTTSTTATAGAACATAAGGTGGAGATAACTGAGGTTAACTTCCAGTGAACCATTCCTGGCTGATTGTTCTTGAAGCCAGCCCTTCCTTTTCAGCTACACCATGGACATGTTAGAAAGTGTTGGTTGAGATCAAACATTCCTAGTGCCCAACAGACCTCTGATGAGGAAATTCTTGGGTTGCTTCAAAAGAGAAAGAATCCTTTGGCTGTGGCCTGTGTTGATGCCTTGGGATTTTTTGTTTCTGTATTTTTATGTGTCTGTATTTTTGTACTTCCCTAGTACAGCACTAAAAACTACCGTTCTCTCATCTTTAGACAAAACAATCCCTCTCTGAGCTGAATCCAAGGACACCTCAGAGCCCCAAAATATGGAAACAACAGAGAATTGGGGGGGAGCAAGTTTGGGATGGTTGGCATCATCACCTGTAAAGATCATTGGAGAATTAACACCCAATATGTTAATAAGGCAGAATTTATAAAAGGTGAAGATCTCTTGACTCTGTGTCCATTTTGGGTGTAGCCTCAGGAGGAGGCTTTGTCTGCCCTGACGTACCAGGGTCCTGTTAGGCCTGGATTAAAGTTGTGTATTCTCATTCTCTTAACTTTGTCTCTTTTTCATATCAACCTGATTGATAAGGCATCARTGTTGTAAGAACAAAAGCTATCTCAAACTACAACACCTTCAGCCTTATGTCAGGTCAAGATTGCAGTGATTTTGGGAGTTAAGAAATGTTTTTCTACTTACCATAATATTTCCTGCAAAGCTATTTGTGTTCCTGATGAATTTTTCCATTTTGATTTGATGACCTCCATTAGGGTTTTAGGAACGTTTTTAGGAGGGTTTTAGGTTTTAAAAGCGTTTTTTTTCCTTAGTACTGAAAAGCAAGTGGCTTTCTGTGAACTATCAGAGCTGGAAGTCCAAGGCAGGTAATTCAGTGCTTATTACCCGTGGTGAATGTTGGTTGTGAATTGAGAAACTTCTTTTCCTGTCTCTGAAGTCTGAAGTACAATAGAGTACAACTGGCTTATTTTTTCTTTCTCTGAGTGACCATGCAGGAAGCAATAAATTAAAATAAAAACAACAAAACAAAACCGAGCAAAACAACAAAACAAGCATTCCTAAATCTCAGCACTGCAAAGGAGCTGATTTGAATTATGTGAATCATTTGTGAACATGTCTTCCAGGCCTTTTAAATTTAATTTATGACTGTGGAAACCAGTATACAAATTAAGTCTCCATACTGTTCCTAGTGAGACACCTACTTCAGGCTGATTTGCTGTGCTAAGCTGTGTAGTGTGGTTTTTTTTCTGAATGTCAGTCAGTTTAAAATGAGGAATTTCCAGAGTGGTAAACAGAAATAAATGGAGGCCTTTTAGGAGGATATGGTATGTGGGTTTCTGAAGAACATGAGACAGACAGCAAACAAAGTATCTTGGCACTGTAGGCAACTTCTCCCAAGATAATCTGCAATGATTTCCTTTGGAAAAGAAATTCTTTATAAGTAAAACCAGAAAGTAAAAACATCTCTTTGGAAATTCATGCTSTTTGACTCTAAGATAACTTTTCAGACTGATCCCAGGAGTTGGTGTTGAGCAGTTATTGTTGAGGGGCTGCTGTCCTGCACAGAGGACCCTGTTCCTGTTTTGAGGCTGTTTGTTTTTTCCCTCCCACCATTCAATGGTGCTCACTGGGAGCTACTGGGATAATTTGGGTGTATCCCATGAAATCTGCCATGCAGCTGCTGACACTCATGCCCAGATTTCCAAATCACAAATCTCTTGTGATTTGTTTCCTTCAAAGGTGTTTGAATAGTTGAGAGCTGTGCCAAGTAAGAGGGAGAATACCAGCAATAATTAAAATAAAAGA